GTCAATATCTAGAGAGAGCAGGCAGGATACAAGTTAGAGTACTCCAAGGTCTCTCTAACTATATGGTCTACTACAAGTCACTTTTTGAGACTTAGTTCTTCATCTGGAAAATGGTAATTCCTCTACCATAAGATTATGAAAATGATAGAATGACTTAAAATTTGGAAGCAATTGTAAAACTGAAATTTACAAGCACTTAAAAACATAGAGATTTGACTTGAGGAGATAAGCAAAAAGCATCAAAAAATAGTATTCTTTTCGATAGTTCCTTTTTCTAGATTCTGACTTGTTTGCATGCTAATATTCCAAAGAATAAATAAATGTCCATATGAAGGGAGTATAGAGAAGATATAGAAAAGAAATGTTCTTTTAATTTGAATAGCTATTTTTATCAAGAATCTGGGGCCCATATATAGCTCAGTGCTGTAGGTGGCTGTCTCGGTGCTGGAGGTGTTGTGCTAAGAATATTTGAAGTCCTGAATTCAATCAACTGCATCCCCCGAAATAAAAACTCCAATGAACTCAAACAACAGTCTCCAGAATAAGTCCACAAAATCATCTCTCCAGATAGGTGCCCACTCCAGAGCTTCACTGTCTTTTCAGTGGGAGAATTTTATTTCAAGAAAAACTTCATATGTTATACTTATTGTTTTTAAGGAAACGGTGTCGAGTGTGATCTACTAAAACACTACAACTGTGTGTCTCCTATCCTTGGTAAGTGGCTTGATTTTTTTCTTTTACTTTTGAGGCTTATATTAAAATTATTTAGTTACAAAACATTAAGTAACATTTTGGATATCCCAAAGATGAAAAAGATAATAAGATACATAACGAGTTTTTAAAAATCCTTTAATACTCACTACATAAACACAGTAAAGGAAAATTCCCTCTAACTATAGGATATCTCTCAGTTAAAGGCACAGAAGAGCAGAGTACCAGCAAGAGATCAGGAGTTTATTTCCAAATCTTTATGTTGTTTATATTATATGCTCTCTATATTATGTCTCTGTGATTTTTTATTTTATTACTGAAATAATTTTAATGCTAGATCAAATATTCCAAATTAGAAAATCATGTAAAACTCAGTAGAATCTTGTTTGTTTAAAATTATTAATATTTTATGAACCATAATTTCATTTAATTAAACATATGCATATGTAAAACCTTTGTTTAAATTGAATCATAACCACACGTCTTACGTATTGACAATGTAGACAGATTTATTTTACCTAAACTTTGCATAGACCCCAAATTAATAATAATATAGTATATTCTGATATAATTTGATCCATACACATAATTTCATATTTATGCTTTTAAATCATTGGTTGCCCTCTTGTAATATATTATATGCCTGTTGTTTTGTTTTTGTGGGATATAGCAACCTATCAAACCCAGGGGACAAAGGATTTATTTTAACTCACAATTCTAGGCTACATTAGTCCAGGACTGTGGGGAGATCAAGGGAGTAGGAGCTATGAACTGCTGGTCATATTTCCACCACAGCTAAGAGCAGGGAAGAGTGAATTGAAAAATGCACACTTGTTCTTACTTTACTTTCTCATGCAGTTCAACATCCCTTGAATGGTTCCACTGGCAGTGGGTGGGTGTTCCCACCTCAATTAAGAAAAACGATGAATAAAGTACCACATGTATGCCCACAAGCCAGCTGCATCTATAGAACCCCAATTGGAATTCTTTTCCCAGATATTTCTAGATTTTTGTCAAGTTAGCAAAACTAACCATTGTACTCGTCTATGAAAGTCTTTTTTTTCTAACCCATTATAGAAATATCTTTAAGATGGCAGCAGTAGAATAAACATTTCCTTTTAAATGGTTATAAAATACTTCAAGGTCTGGGTATGAAGTAGATTTATATTTCTCTTTAGTTTTACAAAGCAATCATGTAAATGCCATAATGCCATATTGAAAGCAAAAAGAACAAGAACTATGTTGTCAAGCTTTTGTTTTCCTATCACTGGTGAAGGCTAGCGGAAGGACCTTGGAAAAGAAATCATGTACACAGTAGTTTGGAGACTGCTGTGGGATAACAAGATCGCAAAGCTGTACATGCATATGTGTGAGTACATTGTGCATGTGCTGTGAGTGTGTCAGGATATGTGGATGTGAGCACCAGATGAGGGTATCCATGTATATTCAAGTGTGTGTATGAGAATAGCATATGTGAGCATATGAGGGTGTTAGATTTTCTTATGTGGGTGTAGGAATGTATAGTAGTGTGTACATGAAGGTGGAAAGATGAGAGAACATGGTAAACAGAGAACCTCACTGGCTGCCTGAGAACCTAAGGGGACGAAGGAAACAAGGAACCTTAAGCCTACAGTATTTCACACCAATTTAGGGTAAGTCTAAAGATCAGTGTAGTTTGAGTCACTGACCTTCACAAGTATATCTGCTGGTTCCTCTCAAAGTGACATGCTACGCACCACTCCCGATCCTGTTCTGTACAAACAGTTGATCTCATATGGAAATAGTCCAGGAATGGCCTGGAATTTCTCATTCCCAATGAAGATCTGACCCCAGTGACTCAGTGGATCAGGATTACAGCTGATTCTATCTTGTTGGTAGTATTAACAGTAAATTAATATGATTTACTAAGATAATAGGTATATTTAACTATTTTTTAAATACAGAAAAAGAAATGATGAATTTTAGATGCCCTGTTATCCTGTTGTGAAATCTTGTCTAAGTGTACTGTTGTGGTTTTCATTTCAGACCACATTGAGATTAAGGGACTGTGCACAATGGGAACACACAACTCCAGCTGCCCTGTGTCATGTGAGGAAACAGAGTACCCTGCTACTGTTTCTTATTCTACTTTCCCAAGTCAAAAAGCATTAAAATTTCTTGCTAAAAAAATGAACCAAAGCCAAGAATATCTCAGGTAATCTGGTTAGTCTTATAAATTATTCATGATTACTTTAAATTTTCTTTAATGAACACTTAAAGTTTCAGGAAATGACATGGTGGTCAGTCTAGGCAGACAGTTTGGAGGTCATTGAGCTAACAGTGACAATGATAGGGATTTAGAGTGACATATAGTCACTTCTGTTAGTCTCTCATTTTAGCTTAGAAAATTAAACCATATTATCAGTGTGTATGCAAATTGAAAGCACAATGGAGTACATGAAGTTGAGAATTCCCAAGACAGCATTATAATTTCTTTCATTATGATAACTGATTTTATCACTTGTAAATATGACAACTTCCATTGATGACCTGTACATTTTTCTGTTACCTAGCATTAGACTAATGGAAATTAACTAAACATAATAATGGTGCCTTTTGCATTACGTTTATTAGAGAGTATTGATTTCTCTAAACTGTAAACAATAAAGAAAAGTGGTTTATAACTGTGTTCCTTAGATATGTTAGAGTATGCCTGGTTGTTTCGGGAAACATTGACAAATAGGGTCCATTCTTCATTAAAATTCTTATTGCCGTCTGAAAACCATGTAGTAATTGATTTCAGTTTCAGCCCAGACAAGTTAATATTTAGCCACTTGTTTGTTGGCTTCATCTTTAAGTTGTTGTGATTTTAACAAATACATAAAAAGTATGTGTTGGGTGTTGGGGACTCAAAGGCTGTGATAGGCATGGAATTTCTCGATGAACAAAAATTACAAGCCGTGCCTTATTGAAAATGTTTCCAAGGTGGTGTAAATGAATGAAAAATATGTGCATGATATAAAATGATTCATGATGCTGCAACAGAAAAGATAGAGGAAGTGTCATCCATAGAAGCCAGAGTGAAAAAGACTTGTCTTCATGGGCTGTTGGGCATGACAGAACGACCTTGGGCAGAAGTGAACAAAACTCTACAGCCATGGGTCTCAAATATCCATTATGATGTTTTGTCATGAGTGCCCTGTGAGTGTCAGGGGAGAGCAGATAGAGTGTCCTGATTCAGGAGGTTGAAGAATTACTATTTATTTTATGAAGAAAAATGAATATTCGCTGAGGTGTGGTAACTTAAATTGAAAGCATAATCCCTATAATATTTATAATAATATCTATAACAAAACTCCTAGGGAGATTATGATGGTTTGGGTGACAGTGGGAAGAATGGTGTGCAAAGCAATGGGACTCTGTATATGTGCTAGTGGTTCCACAAAGACAATTTCCTATTAGGAGTGCCAAACGGAAAATATCAAGAGCTTGACTTGGAATGTGTTGGAGTGTGTTAAATTGTTAGACAAGCAAATGGAATTATCTAAACTTAGTCAACTATATGATTGGAATTGAAAGGAGAGGTCTTGGTAGAGAAAAGAGAGAGTTGGTGCCCTTGGCTGTATCAAGAATATAGGTTTAAGATGGCATTGAACCACTCTGAACATGTGTGAAGGTTTATAAAGGACATTAAGAAAATAAAGTCTTTGCTCAAGTAGGTCAACAATAAAAGGGAAATTGCATTTATCAACAAGGCAGCTTCTACTCTGGTCCATATTTAATTTCTCAATAAAACCTGTGAGCTTAGCTCTTCTATACTAACCTTGTACAAGGTAACAGCATACTACTTCAGGATCATCTAGACAACTTAGAAAAGTCAAGAATTGAATTAAGATTATCATCCAAAAGTTTGTAAATATAATGGGCCACAATTAGATAATTCCGGGGAGGCTGTAGCCATGCCTACTTAGGGGATGGCTATATCCATGTCTTTCTTAAGTTTCTTAAGAATGAAACAGAAAAGTTATGGGGTACTGTTCTCCTCTCTCTGTCTTTTTCTCTAAATATTACCTTCCAGATAATGCCAAGGGGATTAATAATTAACTAACACATGTTGGATCTAATGCAATGTTAAATAGTTTCTGAATCTAAGACGGGGATTAAAAGTAGTAGTGACAGCTGTAAACAATGTTCATTCTGTTTCATACTCAGGGAGAATCTTGTGAACATTGAAATAAACTATAGTGACTTAAACTATAAGATAACACAGCAACAGAAGGCAGTGAGTGTACCTGAGTTACTCGGTAAGTGTGCTGACTCCTACCTCAGCTCTCATTTCCTGTCAGACTAATTTCCTGTTCAGGGGTTAGGTTATCAATGGAGGAACAAGAATCAATTGTCCTTGTCTACTACCAGTGACTAAGTGTTTGTAGTCCCAGAGAAACACCAGTGACTCCACCACACAGGATTTTGCCTAAGCAATCATTGATGCCTATCTCAGAGTTTCCCTCACAGTTAAGTTCCTTTCAGGCTGCCCCCTCACCATGTGACTGTTGTACAGTGTTTCAGGAGGTTCAAATATTTGGTCTTCCACAAAGAGCTTCATGCTAGGGAGGGGTAGAGAAGATCCCAAGCAAGCAATCTTATTCATTTCCTATACAGCCACTGCCTGCTTCTGCTATTGCAACATGGAGTCTTTAACAAACCACTGATTTCCTAGATTCAGTTCCACACTAGAGGAACCCACATAGGAGTCAGAGAACATTAGATTCAGGCATAAGCATTGTCAGATAAAACAGCTGAGAGTGAGATTGTGAGAAAGTATCCAAAATCTTTAAAAGTCCTACAAAAAGCACACTTCCGTAGATCATTTAACAGACATCAGTTTCCTAAAGATGAGTCCAGGTAGACTATTAATAAAGAGTACTTCCTTAGAAGGCAGTACTAGAGCAGCAATGTTCACAGGGGCTAAAACAAAGGGTGATTGCTAGGGTCTTGTGGTGGAGGGAACTGGGGCACTAGCAGTTCAATTTGCATGGAAATTGTCTTCTTGTAAAACAGCATAATCCTGCAAGGCCATATGGTACCAAGTGCCAGTTCTGCTTTGCATTTCATGAGTGCATGTCACATTGTAGTTAAAATTTTACCTATCATTCAAATCTTCCAAAGTCTAAATTAGATTTTTGGGAACATAGTTTTATACTGTTTCCTTTGGGAGATGATTTGTGTGAATATTATTTTCATGTATTACTAGTTTGCATTGCTTTATACTGAATTTCAAAATAATATGATTAATGTAAATTCATATATCAGTCATGATCAACTTAATGAATTCAAATAATGCATACCATGATGATGTTTAATTTTGTCTGATAAAAAATGTAACTTTTAATGGATTTTTTTACAGCCGATGTTGGTGGTCAGCTGGGCCTATTTTGTGGAGCTAGTCTGATTACAATTATAGAAATTTTTGAATATGTATTGACAAATTTCTACTGGATATTCATTTTCTTTTTGCTGAAAATACTTGAAATGGTCCAGAGGACTCCTCCACCTCAGGCAGTATAGAAGAATGCTAATATTCTGTTAGACTAAAAGTAGTTGTTTTTTTTCTTTTCATAATACATATAATCTTAATGGCTCTTTCATTGTTACGAAACTTTATGTTATAGTTTGGAAAGTCTAATAAAAATCATTGAAGGTTCCTACTTTTTATACACCCCTCTCTGCCTATATCGTTTAATATATTCTGTGTTGTCTAATTATTTCTCTCTTGTAGCCTGGGCACTTAAAATAATAATAATTACATGATAAGCATCGTTTAACTTTTTATAATAATGACTGGAAAGGGGTGTACTTTTTAAGTAAATATGGTAACTATACCCATTGAACTGCACACAATTGGTTATTTTAAATGTCAACCTGCCACCACCCAGACTCACCTAGGAATATATAGTTTGCATTGACCCATGGGCATATCTGTTGGGAATTGTCTTGTTTGTTAATTGACTCAACTCAGTATAGACAGCATCATTCCCTATGCTGGCCCTGAACTGTTAAAGAATGAAGGATGCTATTGAAGGCAGCAAACATGCAAAAAACCATGCATTATCCCCTCTCTGCTCTTGACTGTGGATGTAATTTTTTTAAGCACCTGTCTTGACTTCCACTCAGGAGTGGACTATGATCTGGAATTGTAAATCAAATAAACCCTTTCTTCATTAGCTTCGTGCTTTTTGTGGGTAGTTTTATCATAGCATTAAAAAACAATGGATAGCTTGAACAATGGATAATCAAGACAATTTTTCATTTAGGAAATAGTGTGCATAATTTATGCTTTATAAACTTTCTCAGAATTTTTGTTTTCCATAAACCACAGCATTTTTGTTCTTTCTTCTGCATAATTTTGTTATAACTGACTTGAGGGAGGTAGAAATCTGTCCCTTTTTGTACAGATAGATTCATAATATAAATGTAACTGAAAACAAGCTGTGTCAGTGGTATAGAGAGACTGTACACCATTTCCTCATTTCTTTATAATAAATACTATATACTCATTTAATTTAGACAAAAATTCAACAGTTACATTGGTTATGCTTTAAGCGATCAACTACTTTCATCCTCTCAGAATGTTCATGCAATGGTGAATTGCTTAAAAGCCTTCTTGTACACAGTGAACAGTAATCAAGGCAAAAAACTCTTAACTCCAGGCCTTCTTTCAGCTTAGCATGTATGAGGACCTGGTTTCAGTCTGTGGCACAAACAATATCAATCTAATTCCTGATTCTTTCTGCATTGTATTGTTTGGTTACATTTTCTTCCTGACCACATGGCATCCCCAGTCTTTTTTGCTCAGATAATTAAGAGAGAATGGACTGATAACTAACACATACGGACATGAAATACATTGTTCAGAATGAACATTGATGATCAACTGTTTACACTGGTGCCCAGCATCCAGAAAGCTCCTGGCATTTAAATGTATGAGTGCTATCTGTTTGGGAATTGGTGGTGAGAAAATAAAATATTTGTACTTTGAAAACAAAATTTCTAAATGTTGCCTTAAGAAAAGTTGAATAGCCTCTCAGAGCATTGTGAAGTCTGTGGCAGGAACAACCCTAGTGAATGATTACAGCAACGAGCCACCCCAAATGATACAGTCTTGACCAAACAGAAGTGCATGCAGTAGCAACATCAAGAACCTTATATAATCTCTTATCAAGAAGGGATGGGTCACATGACCTCCTCAATCTGTGGATGTCCTACTTAGCAGAAGTCATATATACATATAAATAATGAACAAAATTACTGAGTTCACTCAAGGAGGATTACAGAAAAACACGATGAATGATAAAGAACACTGGGGAGGGGAATGCTAACACATGAAACATTGGAAATGTTTGAAATGGAACAAGAAAGAGAAGAGGGTAACTTGATAAGGTCACTATGACAGAGACTCTGACATTTTCTTTTTTCAGGATGATAAGGGACTCCCTACTTAAATCCAGCAATATCACAGTTACAGAGCATAGCATTTCTTGCCTCCCCCCATGGGGTGAGTTTTGTAACAATAACACAAAAGTGAAGTGGGGAGAAAAGAGTTAAAAACAAGTGCTGAATATGCTCTTCTCACAAGTTGGCAAGAAAATAGATGATTGGCTTGATGATGAAAATCTCTGTTCTAAAATGTGTAATAGTTATTGCTAAAATCCAATGAGCTAGCAGTTGTAAACAAACCAGTTCACTTAGACTTGCAGAGAAGCAAAGATAACTTTTAAAAATCAGGAGCAGTAGTTGGAAGATGCAGAGCTGGTGTAGTTGGATATCAGAGTTAATATCAAAGTGAAGTCTGCAGATCACAAAGTAAGAGATGACTATGAGAGCAGCAGTTACACCCAAGCCTGTTGGGATACACTAGCTGTGTAGACATATGACTTTACTGCCTCTATATTAGAGTCTCCATCATTTCTCATTTCTTCTCATCTTCCACCATCATCTTCCTAACCTGTGACTTCATCCCTGGAAGGACAACCATCTCTTAGGACTCTACACTACTCCTTAACAAATGGTATCATGCGGTACAGTGCTATAATGCAATTTCTTAAATAATTCTACTATCATGCAATTTCTCTACTTCTACATAATTCATTAGGTCTTATTGTCTTATGATATCCTATAAGCTAATCACATTGCATATTAAGTACCACTTTCAGTTACTTCTTAAACATATTTATGCAGGCTAGTTTGACAAGGCAGAATACACTCAAATATTTCATCAATTTCTTCACTTTTCAAAATAATTTTCTTTTGATAAAGATGCTTAAGTTTCCCTGACTTTTGAGGGTATGTGTTCTCTGACAAGTGATCCCCACTTTCTTTAATCACACTGGTGATTAAATATTTTCCATCTAAATGTAAGACATTTGAGCAATAGGAAATATTGGCTTACAATATTACAATGAGTCAGCAAATTCACCTAGACAGTTGAATACATTTCATGCAAAAATTAACATAGAAAAGTATTTGCATGCAATTTCCAATTTATCTTTTGAGTATTCAATGTTTCAAAAACAAGAAACTTCAAGTAAAAATGAAATGAAATGAATAGCCATATATTCATTACTCAGTTTAACATGACCAACATTATTTGGATTATTTCCTTCATGGAGTTCTGTATGCATATTGATCTTAACATATGTTTATGCCCATAGAGTAGAGCCACTTTCAGTCTTGGCCAGAAGAGCCACATTTGCTGTGAGAAACAACACAGAGATTCATATTTCTTGTCAAATTGCTGTGAATAGCTCAGTACTAAATGAGACATCAATTTCAACCCACTTACTCTGCAAAGACATGTAAGAAAGGGGCCAGACTATGAGATACAAAGAACAGGAAGGAATTCCATGAAATTCTAACTTGTACACTTGACATGGTCATTGCACTTATGAACTCACTGAAGTTATGATTACTTACACAAGATCTATACAAGGTCAAGTCAACAAGATCAACAGACTGCACTAATGGGACTCAGAGGGTTACAAAAGAATAAATATAAAAGAGTATGTGAAAGTTGAAGGGTACATGTTCGGGGTAGTGTAGGAGAGAAAAGGGGAAATAAATAGGCACAGATATGATTATGATACACTGTGCACACATAAAATTGTCAATGGATAAATGAAACATACTTTTAAAAGTTAAAACTAGAGAAACATCTGAGGCAAGCAACTTGTGTGCCGGACCCAGTTCGGCAGCGGCGGTGAGTTCCGAACACCGAACACCCAGAGGCAGCCCAGCCTCCATGTGCAGGCCCAGGTAGGCCAGGAACCATTTCCAGTTCCGGTTTGTCATCGCTGTGCAGAGTCATCTGAGGCAAGCGACCTGCCTACCAGATCCAGTTCGGCGGCGGCGGTGGGTTCCGAACACCGAACACCCAGAGGCAGCCCGACCTCAATCCACCAGTCCAGGTAGGCCAGGGGCTGTTTCCGGCTTCTGCTCAGCATCGCTGCTCAGAGTCATCTGACACAAGTGACCATACAGAGTTTGGCAGCAGGATCTGACACCCCAAGGCCCGGTGACGGCTCTGCTTCCAACTGCCCACCCGGCGGGACCCGCATGCCTGGACATTGCTGACACCTCCATCCAAGAGAAGAGGACCCATATCAGAGTATTGGATCTGTTTGCATCTACCAGAAGGGAGCCATGGTCCCACACCCACCAGGAGAACAAGAAACACTTGCTATACCCACCAGAAGAAAGGATGAGAAGAGGACAAGATAAAAGCACATCCAACAACAGAAAACCCAATATGACACCACCGGAGACTAGGAACAATACACCAGTAAGACCTCAACAACACGATGCAGATGAACCAGAAAAGAATAACCTTAAAAACATCTTCAGTAAAATGATAGAGGACCTCAAAGAGGACATGAGAAAATCCCTTAAAGAAATTGAAGACAAA